ACAGAAGAAGATCGCTGTCGAGTGCACTACATAGGTTGGCCCAGTAGGTATGATGAATGGAGGCACATTGGAGATGTGGTGAACATAGTTGGTGAAGAGTCAGATGCTCCTTCTCTCTTCAAAACCACGCTTCAAAGCGAAGTTAAAAGAAATCTTATTGCCAGTCGCATGCAAGATCCAGAGATACATATCCGCATTCCTGTACAAAAAGAAACATTTAGTGCTTTTATATCTGATATTGATGCTAGTGGGTCATACGTTCCTGTTCACAAGTTATTCAGTATTCTTGGTGACGATTAGTGCTTTAAGATTTTGAATGAAGCTGGTGATGCTATCTGGATAGCGCCAGGAACATTTCAAATTACATTGAAAGACAGAGGCGTTCGTGTGGAGTACACAAAGACACTTCAGAAAAAGATAACACACCAGGGCTATTTTTGTGCTGTTAAATTTGTGCGACAGTCTGGGAAAAATTATGAAATCCCTGAGTATATATGAGGTAACACTTCTCCTGTGCTTAATACCCAGTCTTTGGGTACAGGTGTATACTAACAATGATGATTGGGTACTGCATATTAACGATTATTTTTTGCATCAACTAATACAAGAAAATGAAAAACCAACGCTAAAGGAAACAACTCAATCAGTACTAATGAAGATACTTGACGTGCATGCCATTGATGCAGAATTAGTGGATCTTCAAAAGTTATCAAAAACTATGACCTATAAAGTTCAAAAAGTTAATCAGGGATTCTTAAAGGCTAAGCGATCTGGTGGCAAAACAAGAACAAATTTTGAAGAAAAGCTGAGGAATAATGAAACAGTATTTATCTTGGGTACTGCTGAAAACAGGCTTGAACATGAAAAGAGAACAAAACGAAGAAGAGTGAACGGGAAGAAGAATAGAAGGGCAAAAAGACGACGTATGGATGACAGTGATGTAAGTGTAGACCGTCTTGTTTATGTAAAAGATAAATTTTGCATATCCGATAAAGGATTCCATGAACTGTCTGCCTCCACTTCCTCATTTCCCACGTTGTTCAGTGTAAGGAGGAGAATGAATGAATTGAATGAAACCTTCACTGTTAAAGTTCATAAAGAATTGAAAGTTGTTTCTCAGCCCCTTGAAGAAAAGATATACTTGGCATTATCTCAGATTGAAGCGTTAAATGAAGGACATAAGCTCATTAACAATGAAACCATGTATATTAAGATCACTGGAGATGGAACCTTATTCGGCCACCATTACAATGTTACTAATATTGGATTATCTATGTACACTGACACAATGCAAAGCCCAGAGTATGTTCTGATTATTGCGGAAGTGCCTGAAAAGTATGATCAACTTAAACCCGTCTTTAGTGAAATTATTTCCACCATGACTAATTTGAAGACCGTGGAGTATAATGGAATCAAACTGAATATACATTATGTGTTTTGTGCTGACATGAAATTTGTAAATGAGATGATGGGTGTAATATATTGATCATGACAACGCCCTCTAGAATATATTCTGGGAGTCGAAAATTAAAAAGTT